AAAACACCATCTAAAAACCCAAAAATCAAAAAAAAAAAACAACCAAAAAAAAAAAAAAAAAAAAAAAAAAAAAAAAAAAAAAAAAAAAAAAAAAAAAAAAATTATAAAAAAAAAAAAAATCAGATATATAGACCTTAAAATAACTTTATGACTCTCTTCGTTGATAATACTGTTCACCGCTTCCTGTGCGTGCTTAAACAGTAACGTCAACGACCTCAAAGTTCCTTTGTTATTTCAATAAATTTTATATCGACTGTAACTTTGATTGTTTTTCGTTGACGTTTTGTTTATTGTTTTATACGTTTGCATCTTTTTGTAAACGAGACGTCTTCAGGAGTACCTTTTTTACTTAAGAGAAAATTCTCCTTTACTATCTTTTTTTATGCAAGATTATTTCGACCTTTCAAACGTTCACTTTAATCGCAAATCTTAAGATTAACCCTTCTTGCAACGAATATAAGCAAATCAAAAACTTTTCCAACAAAAACGTTTATCATAATTTCACGGTTTTAATCTGATTCATTGTATAATTAAAAATCATTTAATCTTCCGATAAAAAATAATATTCATAATGGATAAAATGGATATCCATTCTCTATTAAATAACGAAGAGGCTCATCAACATAATGGCCCAACGAGTCCAACACCAAGTACTTCAAGCGAATGTACAGATTCTGAACAGATCGTGGATAACGATCGTCCATATGAATGCAATTGGCTGTCTTGTGGCAAGGCATTTTCAAGACGCTCTGACCTTGCTCGTCACCGAAGGATTCACACTGGGGAACGTCCATATCGATGTGAATGGGTCGGATGTGGTAAGCAGTTTATTCAACGTTCCGCATTGACGGTTCATTATCGTACCCACACAGGAGAACGCCCTCACATCTGTGAATACATTAACTGTGGCAAATCATTTAGTGATGTAAGATTTGAATTTATTTTTTTTTATTCTATTTTATTATAGGTATCACATGCTTACATAAATATTCATATTTTTTAATCGAACTCGTTAGTCATCTTCTTTGGCTAGACATAGAAGAACGCACACTGGAAAGAGACCTTATGTGTGTCCTCATTCTGGTTGCGGAAAAACATTCACTCGTCGCACCACCCTAACGCGGCATCAGAGACAGCATGATCCTCATTGGAAGGAATATAATACGTACGTGAAATTTCTTTTTAATGTTTTGTTAGACGTGGCAAACATTTCGCTAATCATATTTCTTCTTACAATAAAGTGCCTTTGAACCACGTAAACAAGGTTCAACAGATCATTTAGCAATTTCTTTGTCGACATGTAATCGGACTTATACTGGACTTCCACCAAGTCCATCAAGTCCACCTACACCTACTGATTGTTCTAACGATTGTTTTAAACAAATCAAAATGATACCTGTCGATCATAATCAGTCATATCAACAAGCTGGATATCCAACGATGTTGAATAATAATATTCTTCCAGCGATTAGCTGTTTATATTTGCCACAGCCTATTGATTCAACGATGTTAACATCTACTTCGCGCATCACCGCTTTTAAGCCGGTGGTTAAAGAAATAAATGATCCTTACAAATATGGATATCCATCTCCCGTGGAAGCCCCTAATGATGTTTATTATACCGCCACAATGCCTACTCGTATGGCATGATCTTAACGAAAAGATCTCTCTCTTATGAAATGCGAATAATCGAATGT